CTGACGACCTTAAACTCTGGAATGTCGTGGATATCCCGGAGGGTCCTGAGGCAAATCAGTTTGCCTTGGATAGGCCCTAGGATTGGTCTACCTTATGGTTTATGCCCATAAATAGGGTCAAGTGCTCTGTTCTCCGAATCGGAGCTGCCAATCCTCCCACCCAATATGTTGTCTGCGGTGATGAACCCCTGTTGTCAATCAGCAGGTTGAGTTAGGGGTTGTACACTCATCAACACTCCATTCTGGCGACAATTGGAAGAAGGCCGCTTGTCGCGGGTATATTAAGATGTTTATCCACCGCACTTTCGGAATCCTAACGGCCAATTTTTTTGTGAAACTATTCTCGACGTTCGTCCGACCCCACCTGGAATATTGTATCCGGTCTTGTCCACCGTGTCTTAACCGAGACAAAATGGAGTTGGAGAGCGTGTTACGAGTGGGCACTCGGTTAGTGCAGGGTCTACGGGGATAACGTATCCTGAAGGCTTGCTCAGTTTGGGGATGTATTCAATGCACTACCGAAGGATAACAGGGGACCTGATTTTCACTTATCGTATTTTGACGGGTAAGATCCGCCCGGTTTGGTCAGTGCTGTTCAGTCCCGCTACCTTACCTGATCGCCGAAACTGCATAAACCGCGGTCTGATAGGATTAGGACGGAAACTCCTATGTCGCAGCGAGTTATAGATCGCTGAAATTCGCTTCCAGATCATGTGGTTAGGGAACATACGGTTAATGGTTTTGCGCGGCAGCTCGATGCTCTTGGGTGGCAACAGCAAATCTTACTTTTCCTAACTGACTCACCTTCACTTTACAGTTATTTTAATGACACAACTATCTTGGTATTCTACTTGCTTAGCTCGTCCCCTCTCTTTTGTATTCTGAGTTTACTTTTCTCTTTCTTACTTCACGTAACCGGCCAGAAGGGACTGCTATTGCAGGATATGTGGGGATTGATTGGTTGGACAGGGTGTGATGCGGTGTTCGTTTTAGGTCCATCAGTATTTCTAAGTCTGCTAACTCCTGATTCAACGACCGGCTGAAGGAGGAACATTCACGGGATCATCCTATCGTTCCAGTACCGCTTGAACTTGAACTTCTACATCCATTTCCTTGGCTTCTCACATTTACTACTAATATTATCTTATCCACACATGCTCTCCTGTACTACAATTATCATTATTCTGTTTTTGTTGACTCCCTCCCCTCAGCTTTTATTCTTACACACATGGCCGGTACAGTGGGGATTGCCAGTGCAGGCCGCTTGAGCATTGTTTGGTTGACCGTGATGTGATTCGCGTGTATTGATTTGGCTCCTCTGTTTCAAATCGATTCCGCGAACTCAATCCTGGTTCAACGACGTATTGAAGACGGAACACATGGGAATTTTCCTACCGTTCCTGTCCAAAATATACTTGAACTTGAAGTGGAGACTGTTGTAAACTCAGATAGTTATTGGTTCATTGGTGTGTAGGGAGCAGGAGGAGAGACCTTGTCAGCTCCGTCCCTTCCGATTCAGTGCGGGTTGGGTGCAACGGACTGCGAAGCGGCATTCTTCTTGGAATCGTCGCCGTTGAAGCAAGAGCAGCAGAGCCCTGCCGTACTCATCGGATGGCAGTCAAGCAGCCGTTTGGAACATTGCTCTGTCAGTGCATCAACAATAATCTCCGGCAGGCTGGTCCAATCATACACTACACAAATTGATAGGGCAGCCTCTGGACGGGCGTGAAGTATTCGGCTCTTGTACGACTTCCACTTGTGTCCTCGTGTCGAACTGTCCACGGAAGGCCGAAAGTGCTTTTGTACCTCACTCCCAAGTTCTCCTTTTAGGATCCGTCTGGTGTCCAGTGTTCCACACTACACTCTGGAGACAACTGGAGGAAGGCGGCTAGTAAATGGTTCCAGATGTTATGGTTTATCCGTCGTTCGTTCGGGACCCTAACAGCTAATGTGTTTGTGAAGTTCTTCTCAGCGTTTGTGTGACCTCACCTAGAATAGTGCGTCCAGGCCTGTCCACCCTGCCTTGTCTGGCATAAAACGGCACTAGAAAGGGTGTTGTGTGTCGGTACTAGCTTGATCGAGGGATTACGAGGACCAACGTACCCCGAACGCGTACTTAGTTCGGGGATGCATTCAATGCGCTATAGAAAGATTAGATGGGGTCTAATCCTAGCCCACCGTATTTTGACTGGGAAGGTTGGCCCTGAGTTGTCCTGCTATTTAGTCCTGCTAGCTTATCTGGTCTCCGCGAGCATTGTATGAAGCTGGACAAACCGCGGTCCGATCGTGTTAGAGCGGAGACACGGTTATCGCGTCGAGTCATCGAGCGCTGAAACCTGCTACCAGAAAAGGTTGTCAAGGAAGCTGCGGTTAAGGGGTTTGAGCGTCAACTAGACGGTCATAGGTGGCAAAACGAAACATTTCCTTTTTCCTGACTAATTCCCATCCTCATATTTCAATTATAGCTTCTGTACTTTCCCTCACCATTGGTATTATTCTCGTCTTTTAACTGATTTCCCTTAAGCTTTACCTTCGATTTTTCTTCGACTCTTACTTTACGTAACTGACATAGTAGAGGCAGCTAATGTAAGGAACGTGGGCGTTAAATTGGTGGACCAGGGTGTTTTTTGGGTGTTTTCGTTTTAGACACATCAAGAAGTCGGAACACCCCCATCAAATCTTGGATCGAAGACCCGCCCAAGAGGGAATACTTACGGGACTCATCTTATCGTTCCAGTCCCACGTGAAATTGTATATAAGCTCTCCAAGGCGTCGACGATAATCCGTTGGGAATGTGTTAAGCGTTCGGAGTGGAAGTGGGTAAACACGGTATCGAAGCTCCATGCCAGGTTCCAAACCTCGCCCCTGAACTCGTTCTAGTTATATAAAGCAGAAAAATGGATATAAAATACAAAGAGAAAGAAAAACAATTAAGAAATTAAAAAAGTAGGGAACCAAGTGAGTGGGTATACACCGACCCTACCATGCAACACTCGTTAGGTAGCCCTGCTTCATCCAGGAAGATCTACCTACGGTTAAATTTTGCGCGCCAGCTCGACGCTCTTGGGAGGCAACACCAAACCTTTCCTTTTCCTAACTGACACCTACAGTTTTCAGTTCTGTTTTAATGACTCAAATATCTTGGTGTTCTACTTGCTTAGCTATTTCCACTTTCCTTGCATTTTAAGTTTACTGTTTTCTTTCCTACGTTACATAACCGGCCCAGCCGAGACTACTAACGGAGGGTACGTGGCCATTACTTGGTTGAACAGGGTGTGATGCGAAATGAAAGGCAACGAAAAGAGGAAGCGACAATCACGATCTAGCCTATGCTTGCGGCACAGTAGCTGAGGTGTTTCCACTGTAGAGGACCGTTACCTACTGAGTTCTAGTGATGGGGCAAAAATGCAATCTTAAGCAAGAACACAAAATAGAGGAAAAATCAATGCACTTGCGTGATAGTTCCTTCTTCAATCGATGATAGTCCGATGCCGACCAGAGATGCTAACATATAATCCGAGTAACGGATAGACGCGGCAGCAGCACAATCACAAGCAGCAGCAAAACCGAAAGCAGCACGACGCGAGCGCGTAGAAAAAGTTATATTCAAAAGTTGTCAATTTAAACAAATGGTACAAGGTGATCGGTAACGGAAATGATAAAAACAAAGATAGATTACCGTGTAATCACAACCACTACACCACCTCTAGCTAACGTATATATATATATATATATATATATATATATATATATATATATATGAATCGCTTTGGGTAGCCATTCTCCATAAGTGTTTTAGTGATCAGCTCAAACTCCTCAGACTGGCAGTCGTTGGAGCAGATACGTCTCGCCAGACGTATCTGCTCCGCAGCGAGAAGGATAACCAAACGCATTGTCTCGGCCATTCAGCGTACATAATGTGCTGCGGCGGTAATAATCAACAGAACCCGAAAGATGCCGTTACCTTCAGTAAAGGAAGATGAACCCGTCGGCGCCAAATCACATTGTGTCTACCAATTCGTGTGTGACTGCGATTTCAGATACATCGGCAGGACCGAACTGGTTTTAGATTCCAGAGTGAAGGAACACTTACCAAACTGGGTTTTTAGAGGGTTGCCTGTACCGGGAGCCTAGAGAGCGATTCGAGAAGACGGATCAAGTTGCAGGGAAACTTTTATTGGTACAGTAAAAGATTCCCTGTTACCTAGCTATAAATGAACGACACCGTGGACGCTCTAGCTAGGGGAATGGAGCATGCACAGCACACAGGTCAGTCGCGAGTTGCAACCGAAACGAGCGCCAAGCAAAAATGGCGATGAGCAAGGCAAACATTCGAACTCAGCAATCAGTTCAACAAACCACACCGGTTGCCTAGGTGTACAGTGAAATGATTTTAGTTAGAATTTTACACAGGCAAACCGGGGAATCTCCAGACTGCTACGGGTTCAGCGCGAAGTTACCCAATCCACCCCCGATGGTACGTGCTCACGTAAGCCGCTAGTGTCCTCCATAGGCAGGCACATCTTGGCGACTCGTCACCGGGTTAATCCCTTATCAGCTTTCCGGATCTTGTTACGTCATACCAATGCACGCCTTTTACGATTTGCCGAGGCCGTCGCGATTAGCCGAATTAGATCAGCTTTGTGTGTCCAAAAGCAATTAGTTGTCCACCTGCGGTTGCCGTGGACCTAATCCCATCAACAATGACCACAACCATAAATTTGATTGGCTTGACTGTGCCCTGTAAGACATATAAAAGGATTTCCCTGCTATTGTATTGGTTCTGGTGAGATAATACGAAATGTTAGCATCTGCCAATACTCGTCCTCTCATTTCGTTGTTCAAAATACTGAAGGGGAATAAATGTTTTAAATTTCTCAAGCGACGAATTCCCCCCGAAACTAACCGTTTGCTGCATCGTACTCTGCAGGTAACAGCTTGTCGGTTTTACGTCCTGTGAGTACTGCGCGGTAACTCGATTTTTGGCGTGCCATACTGATCGAGATTTTTAGCTGAAATAACGTGGAAAACAGTGTTTGAATAAACACTTGAAACGAAATTTGACTATTGTCAAATTTCCTCTGATCCAAGCTATCTTGGATCGATTAAAGCGGTTCTGGTCAAAGCGTCTTTGGCGCTTACTGGTAATTTTTCCGGTTTTTCCCAGTTTTAATCCCGTTTTGCACCCAGTTTGTTGTTTTTTATCGCGGTCGTTTAACTTTTGTGTACGTGTTATTATTTCACTCTGCTTTCCACTATATCGGTCTTGCAATGCACCGAAGCTGTTGTTCTTGGTGGCTTGGATTCTGAGGTTATCGCACTTTGTGGCAGTCCAAGCTGCAATATACCAGTAACTGACGATTCCGGCGGTATGCAGTGCGATGTCTGCAACCGATGGTACCATCAGCTTTGTATGGATCTGAATACCGAGCAGTACGCAGCGCTGGCCTCCAGCGAAAAGTTGCTTTTTAGTTGTGCCAATTGCTGCAGCCGCCGGCAAGACCGCGCGGCCTTTCGTACGAGAGACGCATCTCTTGATACCCGGCTGCGAAATGTAGAGCGTTCCTTCTCGACGTTCTCAGATCTTCGCTTTAAGATTGATTTGCTCATGAAGACGCTTCCGGTCTCCAACAACGCAGATTTGATCGCCTACACTGGTGATCAACTTATGGAACCAATCATTATGTCACCGGTCCAAATGGCTACCGACCACAAGAATGAAGCAGCTTCGGACGTCGTATCTAAAGGTACCTTGATCGACGCCGAATCACTAGTTCAAGGGTCCCTTCGAGTAAAGCGAAAGATAGCCAGGAAACACCGTAAGCTCTCTGCTAAGCAAGAAGTTATAGTTGTCTCGGCACCGGAAACAAGCTAAGTGTCGTTACTTGCCAAACCGTCCGACGGTTGTGCGGAGGCGAAGATTCCAACACGCACTACTTGTCAGCCGAAGTTGCCGGCAATCTCGGTTCTCACCGAGAAGGCATGTTCTGAAACTTTGCCTGCTTTTGCTCAAAGCGAAAAATCCTCACAGGACCCTGCTTCCGTTATGAAGAAGAAAAAGCAGACCAAATCTGCCATATAGCCTTTCGGTGAAATCGATGACCGTACCAAAAGAATGGCATCGACAATGGAGCGAAAAACATACGCTGCCGTTTCTACGTCATGGGAGGGGCTAAAGACAATCCCATCACCAGTGTTGAAGTCACCTGCTCCAAGTATCGAATCAAAGACCCGTGGGGTTAATACACCCCGTCGTGGCGATTCTTTCACGGATAGTAGCGTTATATTCCGTAACGCGGCTGAATCTACTGCTGTCCTTCCTGCTGATCGCATGTTAGATGATCTTCAATGGTTTAAAGTATGCGTAACGAAACTTCTTCTTCCTGGTTTTCCATGTGTTACTGTCAGGAAGCTGATTAGACTGGGGAATGTCCCAGTTAATTTACCAAACCCACGACCGCGGCTCCTTCGTGTGGTACTCTCTACCCCGGAGGAACGCAGCGCTCTCATGCGGTTTGCGTTTAAGCTGAAAGGTACAAATATTAGCGTTCAGCCGGACCTTCCGCTGGCCGATAGGCTGAAGCTAAGGGAGGCCATCAAGGACCTCAAAAGTAGGCGAGCGGCCGGTGTACAGGGTCTCCGGTTAGTGGGTTTTCGGGTGGTCATCCGGCGGTCCTTTTCCGCCCTACCACTGTCCATTCTGGTAGCGCACGACCCAGGTCTGGATCTAACGAATACCTTCAGATAGTGTTAAGTAATGTGCGCAGCCTAAGGAATAAGGTGTACGAGTTAGGTCTGCTTGTAGATGGGTCTCATCCCGATATACTCGCATTCACTTAAACGTGGCTTTCTCAGGGCATCACGGATGGTGAAGTACATCTACCTGGCTACGCACTATTTAGGTGCGATCGCTCTGCTGGCCGACAGGGAGGGGGCGTCGCTCTTTATGTGAGCTGTAAACTTGACGTTTTGAAGACTTGCTTATTTCAATCGGCATACTAAACTGTTGAAGCTCTGTCGGCTGTTATTAGCACATCCTCAGCTCAGATTACAGTTGTAATTGTGTATAGAAGTCCTGGGAGCGTATCCAAAGAGGTACTTGAATTCATTTGCTCCCAGTCCGCAAACAAGTGTTTGGTGATGGGCGATTTCAACCTCCCAGAGATTTGCTGGGCAGATCTTTCATGCGACTCAGCGTCAGGCACATTCGGCGCTGATCTGCTTGAGCTTACGCTCCAAGTATCTTTGCACCAGTTCATGGACCTCCCCACTAGGTACATGGACGCCCAAGTACCGTCTATCCCAAACCTTGTATTTGCTAAGTCACTCGGTTTTGTTGGTGACATTACTTACGGACCTCCACTGGGTTCCAGTGATCATGTTTGTTTGCTCTTCAGTTGTACTCTGTCTAGACGCTACCAGAGTACTGTTGAGTCTCGCCCGAACATATGGCACGCAGACTTTCAATCCATGAGAGCCATAGCTTCGGGTTTGCATTGTGAGATCTCAGACGACGATACTGTCGAAGTTGCCTCACTGAGGTCTCTGCTCCCTTCATCCCAGTCACAAGGAGAAAGGAAGCACGAGCACAGCCGCCCTGGATAGATCCCACTGGCAAGCATCTACTCACAAAGAGGTCTAGGTGTTGGCGGACTTACCGAGATGCTCCGTCCACCGATACTTATGACAGGTACCGTAAGGCTAGAAATAAGTGTAAGCAACACCTAAGGAATGCTCAGCTCAATTTCGAGAAAGGGTCAGCGGACGAAGCTTATGTTAAAAGGCGCTGCGGTTCGAACATGTCAATTCCAGTATTGATGCGTGATGACGGTACTCATGCGCATACGGACTATGACAAAGCCTGCGTACTCAGTGGGCAATATGCGACAGCGTTTGTAAGGGAAACCTCTTTGACAGGCGTGGAGCTGGTTTGCAGGATTCCGGTGGGTTCAGAACTATCTGAATTTATTGTAGCGGAGACGGAAGTTCGTAGGCTGTTAGAAGGGCTGAACCCCTCTAAAGCCTCTGGGCCTGAGTTCAGAGAGGTTTGGAAACAATCGGTTTGGTATAGTAGTTTTGTAACGTTTCGCCTTTAACATAAAGGCTTTGTCAGACCAGGTGAATCAGTGTGCAATTGGTGTGGGATTTTATAGTGAACAGGGGCGATAACCGCGTTACCCGAGTCTTGAGCCATGAGTCATTACAGGAACAGTTCGGGATGTCACCTCAGGTGGTTCGATCACAGTGGGAATAGTCCAGGTGTTTCTTTGTGCGTCAAGACATTGACGGATAAGCCCATAGTGTTGACAATGGGAGTCGGTTTGTACTTTCCAATCTGATCTACGCATCGATGCTCGTCAAGCTGGTCGGCTTAAGACCGCCCGCCACGCATTAGGAAGTTCTACCCCCTCCATTCTATTCACGCAGTCGTCCGATTTGGCAATTTCCACCGCCTCGGCAATCAACCGCTGAGTGGTTGATCGGATACTCTTTCTAATGACCTCTACATTTTCGAGGTCTATCTGGTGACCGGTGTCTAATGCATGCACAGCTACGGCCGAGTCTCTTATTATTGCCTGATATTCAAACTCGTTTCTTGGTAGTCTTGCAATGCGTCTCCTATGCTCAGAAATTCGTGTGCGTAATTCTCTCGCTGTTTGACCTATGTACACATGTGCACAGTCCTTACATTTAATTTTATAAACACAGTTAGTCGTCCTATCCTTGGGAAGCGGGTCCTTCAGGTGTACCAGCGCCGAACGTAACGTTCGACCTCGGTGAAAGATCACCCTTATATTTTCCTTGTTTAATACCCTCCGAAATGCCTTCCTTGTACGGAATTCCGACCGTCCCTATCCACTCGGCTGGGGGTCTTGACTGCCGGTGTAGCACTTTATGCAATTGGCGTTTAACTAGCCGTCTTGGGTAACCACTTTCTAATAGTTTGCCTATTGCCACTTTCCGCGCAGCCTTTTTGTCCTCCTCCATTGTGCACAAGGTTTGTGCCCTGTAGGAAAGCGCTGAGGCTATCCCAGCGTAAACCTGTTTCGGATGACCCGAGGTGTAGTGTACGCCATCAGTATGTTAAAGGCGAAACGTTACCAAACTACTATACCAAACCGATTGTTTCCAAACCTCTCTGAACTCATGACTACTCGATCGGTTCCAAGTATCTTCCAAGAATTTGAAGCCTCTGGGCCTGATTTAATTCACCCGAAACTGTTGCATGAGTTGGCTGCGGAACTAAGTGGACCGCTCGCTAATGTGTTTCAGAAATCGCTTGACAGCTGTGCATTGCCTTCGAATGGAAGGAAGCTGTCATCTGTCCCATCTTTAAAAATGGGGACAGGGTCTGCCTGCAAATTACAGGCCAGTTAGTCTGATGAGTGTAGTAGTCAAACTCCTCGAAAAACTGGTGAGACAATCATTGGAGAGTCATCTGAGTAGATTTAATCTACTTAGCAATGTGCAACACGGATTCCGGAAGAGATTTTCGTGTCTGACGAATCTACTGGTGGCTCGCGAAAGTTCGGTGAATGCAGTGGATAACGGCCACGCGCTGGACGTGCTTTTCGTCGACTTTTCGAAGGCATTTGACAAGGTACCCATTTGAGACTCGCGCAAAAGCTGTCCTCCTACGGGGTATCTGGCCGCGCCCTTCATTGGGTGACTGCCTTCTTGCAGGGTAGAGAACAGTGTGTACGAGTAGGCCGGGGCCTATTGTTTAGGCAGTCTGTCCTCAGTGGCGTGCCGCAGGGCTCGGTCCTTGGACCGCTGCTGTTCTCTATCTATGTGAATGACCTACCCGCGGAGCTTGAGGTAGCATCGCTGGTATTTGCTGATGACCTGAAGCTGTGGAACATTGTCGATGTTCCTAGGGGTTCCGAAGCTATTCAGCGAGCATTGGATAAACTTTGGGACTGGTCTACATTATGGTTACTGCCCATAAATCAAGCAGAGTGCTCCGTTCTTCGAATTGGAGGAGGTTGTCCTCCTACGAAGTACGTGGTCGGTGCGGTCGAACTCCCCCGTGTATCTGGCCAGATTGGCCTAGGCGTCGTACACTCTTCGGCTTTACACTCCGGCGACAACTGGAAGAAGGCCGCAAGCAGAGGTTTCCGCATGTCGTGGTTAATACGACGTT